TACTTTTGTATTCTTGTTTGCTCATCCATAAAGACATCTAATTCATCGTATATAAAACATAAAAAAACAGAAAAAAACAGAAAAAAACAGAAAAAAAACAAAAAAAAGTAAAACAAAAAAAAACAAAACAAAATAAATAAAACAAAATAAATAAAATAAATAGATAAATAAAATAAAATAAATATGCTTTTGTATTCTTGTTTGTTCATCCATAAAGACATCTAATTCATCGTATATAAAACATAAAAAAACAGAAAAAACCAGAAAAAAAACAAAAAAAAGTAAAACAAAAAAAAACAAAACAAAATAAATAAAACAAAATAAATAAAATAAATAGATAAATAAAATAAAACAAAATAAATATACTTTTGTATTCTTGTTTGTTCATCCATAAAGACATCTAATTCATCATATATATGACAAGGTGATTTGCTTCTTTTTGCTAGAGCAGCAAGAAAAGCAATTTGTATTGTACTTTTTTCTCCCCCAGAGAGAGAAATTATATTATTATTTATATATTTTTGGTTTTTATCTTTTATATGAATCAATAAACGGCTGTTTTTATGATCGTATATTAAACTCGCGCTGTGAGGGAGACAACCAGATACTACTGCGCGGAAATCCTGCCGAGTCTGCAGCAGCAGCAGCAACAGCAGCAGCAACAGCAGCAGCAGCAGCATCAGCAGCAGCAGCAACAGCAGCAGCACCACAGCAGCAGAAGCAAGAGCAGATGATGATGATGATTATGATGATGATGATAATGATGATGGGAAGATAGCAGCAGCAGCAGCAGCAACAGCAGCAGTTGATGATAAGGGAGCAGCAGCAGCAGCAGCAGCAGCAGCGGGAGCAGCAACACATCAGGCAGCAGCAGCAAAAGCAGTAGGTAAGGAAAAGAAAGAGAGAAATAGAAAAAAAGAAACAAAGAGAAAAGGAGACAGAGAAAGAGAGAAAAAGAAAAAGAGACAGAACAGGACAAGAGGAGACATAAAAGGAGACAGAAAGAAAAGAAGGAAAAAACAAAAGAAGAAAGAAAACAAAAACAAAGAAAAAGTAAAAAAAAAAGAAAAAAAAGAAAAAAAAGAAAAAAGAAAAAAAAGTAAAAAAAAAAAAAAAAAAAAAAAAAAAAAAAAAAAAAAAAAAAAAAAAAAAAAAAAAAAAAAAAAAAAAATACAGACTTGTTTGGACGAAGCCTCAACAGCTTCTAGAAAAATTTGTGCTCTTATTTTTGAGTTTGCTTCCGCTTGCTGCAGTGTTGCTGCTGGCTGCTGCAGCTGCTGCTCCTGCTGCAGCAGCAGACGAGAGGAGACAGCTAGCTCTGCTGCTACTGTCTATACACAACAAAAACAAACAAAATAAAATAATTTATACACACACAAAGAGAGGGAGATAGATATAGAACACAAAAAACAAAACAGAGACGAGGGTTCAGTATTCAGGGTTTAGGGTTTAGGGTTTAGGGTTTAGAGTTAAGGGTTTGGGGTTTAGGGTTAAGGGTTTAGGGTTTAGGGTTTAGAATTAAGAGTTTAGGGTTTAGTGTTTAGGGTTTAAAACTAAGCATTTAGGGTTTAGGGTTTAGGGTTTAAAATTAAGCGTTTAGGGTTTAGGGTTTAGGATTAAGGGTTTAGGGTTTAGGGTTTAGGGTTTAGGATTAAGGGTTTAGGGTTTAGGGTTTAGGGTTTAGAGGGACCTCAGGGTTTCTGGTTTCTGCTGCTAGCGCTGCAATGCGAGTCTCCAAAGAGCTCAGCCGTTGCTCTCCTTCCTGCAGCAGCAGCAACATATACACCACACAATTCACTAGCTAGCTGGTGGCTAGCTGGTGGCTAGCTGGTAGCTAGCTGGGGGCTAGCTGGGGGCTAGCTGGTGGCTAGCTGGGGGCTAGCTGGTGGCTAGCTGGGGGCTAGCTCGGGGCTAGCTTGTGGCTAGCTGGTGGCTAGCTGGTGGCTAGCTGGTAGTGAGTAGAATATGCGTGTAAACCCTAAACCCTAAACCCTAAACCCTAAACCCTAGACAGACCGCAGAAGAGAGCTGAGGCAGCTGTCTATCCTGGGGCAGTTCCGGGCAGAGAGCCTTCAGACGCTGCAGCAGCAAACAGAGGAGACAGATAAAAACAAAGAATAAAAAAGGAGACAGAGAGAAACAGAGGAGACAAAAGGAGACAGATGGAGACAGAGGAGACAGATGGAGACAGTGGAGACAGATGCATATAAAAAAAGAAATAAATAGAATTGGAGACAAAAAAGGAGACATCTATAAAAATAAAATAAATAAAATAAAATAAAATAAAATAAAATAAAATAAAATGAAATAAAATAAAACAAAATAAAATAAAATAAAATAAAACGGAGACAACACTAGGGTTTAGGGTTTAGGGTTTAGGGTTTAGTACATCGGCTTCCGAGCGCAGCTGAGTGAGTTGCTGTTTCTTTTGCTGCAGCAGCAGCAACCGAGAAGCAGCAGCAGCAGCTGCTGCTGTCTCCTCTTCTTTTTGTCTCTCTATTGTCTCCTCAGCAGCACGCACCGCAGCAGCAGCAGCAGCAGCAGCAGCAGCAGCAGCACCAGCACCAGCACCAGCAGCAGCACCACCACCAC